GTTTTATGCGCAGATTAGCTCAAGAAAAGTCAATCATTAAAAATTATTTTTACGACAACAACCTTTTACGATTAAAGTTTCTGAATTTTCCTAGGTAACATGAACGGCAAACTACGTTTCAAAAGGGTTTTTAAAGTTTTCAATACTAGAAAAATTCAAGCCCAAGACCGTTTTCTTTCTTATAGGCACTGCCTGATATTATTAATTAGGATGCACGATCTAGAAGATTTGTTTAAAACCAAACAAAAGACAAGCTCGGAGATCTTGTGCCGACAGAGATCTGGGACCCAGTTTGTTGTTGAAGTTCTAGTGTCTCTAATAGACGGGCCCCTCCGTGTATTAATTTCAGAAGAACTCGCCCTCCCCCCGTCATGACCAGAACACGCAGAAAATTGAATGAAAAAGCGATGTGATTTATAAAAAAGCGATGTGATTTATAAAAAGGCGATGTGATTTATTTTTTAATTTTCATAACCCCCCTTGTTATGTTTGTCTATCTTTATCTCTAACCATCTATCTATTATCAAGTAACCAGTGTCACCATCGTACTAATTCCACTGCCTTTTAATTAAAGATTTACTAACATTCACTCCTTCTATCAACTCCCCTTTGCTATTGAAATTTGATGACATTTTATCGAATATTGGCCAACCTGAACAGCCCCTTCTATTAGCAACCCCATTCTATTGAAAACTGGTTGACATGAACACCCCCTTCTATTAGCACCCCCTTCTATTAAAAATTGGCTGCAATGAACACCCCCTTTCTATTACCCCCCCCTTCTATTAGAGACACCAGAGTAGTGTGCCCCGATGAAAGGGGCCTGTAGCAGTAATAGACCAATCAGATAAACGCAACTGGGTATTTCGAACTACAACTGGGTATATATTTTTTATCGTGTTCGTCCGGACCTTTATTCTGATGTTTGAATATGCTCTGAAGAATGTCAGGCGAAAAAGCTTTTAGCCAATATGTTGTAAATTTTTGCTTTTTTCAGAGCCATTTTCAAGTTCTGTACCGCCAGAAAACTGTTCACATATATACTTATATGGACATATATAAGAAAAATCCCCTATAAAGATGTGCCGCACGTATAAAAAGAGAACATTGGAGTTGGATGTGACCAAATAAGCGTAATGAGGGTGTGGCATGGAAACATCTTGCAATGCCATGTAATGCTCAAAATTCAGTGTGCTTTACAAGTCTCCGAGATCATTGTGCCTTTTTAAGAGGCCAGGGACAAATTTGAGTTGGAGTCTGACCCTTACCGTTTTCAGCAGGTCAAACTTCGTATTTCTACCAACTTTTAGACCTGTATCTTTATTTCGTGTTCATTTATGATGAATGCTCCTTGAATGGACTGGTTCCGAGAACCCCATTCTAAAAATAGCATTCGAGGGCAAATTTGAGTTGGGTTCTGACCCTTATATTTTTCAGCGCATCAAACTGGGTAGCTGTGCGAAATTTCATGCTGGTATCACGATTTGCATGATTGAGCCTATTTTGTAACTTTAGAACCCTCACTATGTTGTTCCAAGCTGGTATCTATAAAGAGAAAATATGATTCAGCTCCGTATTGTCAAATGCTTTTTACAAGGGCACACTTTGTTGAACTTCGATGGGGGGAGGGGGAGGGGGCATAAGGGTATAAAGTGAAACAAATTTATCCTGAGAACATAGGGGCACTGTTCTCAGGACTTTCTTTGGAATTTATTTACGAATTTGGAACTTATTTATCTAAAAAAGATGAAGTTGTTGACAATAAACTTTCATCTTTGAAAGCATTGAAATGTCTTTCGGGGTGTCTCTTTGTCTTTAATTAGTGTTGACAGAAGATATTCCCATGTAAATAAACTAATGGGTAAGTTAGGTCAACCAACTCTCTACGAAACCGGTTGTAGAAGGACTTGCCAAGACCTGTTTACTATTACGATCTGCACGTTACGTTGCAGGTTTATCATTTCAAACAAAACAGCGTCTGATTTGAGCGTCTCTTCGCAACAAACATTCACTATGATTAAATTTAAGTCTGTGATAACAAAGTGGTTTAAGCAGCATATAATAGTTTAAGGCTAAATATTGTTTATGGATCATTGTTTATTTATGTCAGATTTTTTCTTTTTATGTCGATCGTCATGTTGAACCTCTTTTCTTTAAAAGTCGAAGTTGAACCTCTATGAAACTCGTTTGATTCAGACCCCATCCTTTTAAACTATTTCCTTTGTTTTCTTCTGGATAAAAATTGAAATTGTCCAAAATGTAGATTATTCAGCTTTTTCTTTCCTTTTCTTTTTGATTTTTTTTGGCTAGCAGAGGGGTTAAGTCTTTGGCAGTGAGTGACAAACTTCGAAGAACGGAGACAACAGCAGTTATCTTGAAGTCAGAAGTTTTGAACTCAGTCTTCGAAGAATATGCTCCCCTTCCTGCTTGAGTGATACTAATAAAAATTTAAACAAACTGAAATCTGGGCAGTGCTGCCGTGGATGGGGGCTCAGGGAAAGGTGGACTCAATCTCGTAAACTTTTGTTTTACTTGAAAATTTCTAGAAATCAGTTTCATGTGCGGCTTTTGTGAGATTTATTGAATTGCACTTCGGGGGCAACTTTTCCTGGTGGGACATGGACATCGTCCTCGGTCATAAGGTCTATGCTTACACTCTTTTCTTCTTATAAGAACAATTTTATAAGAACACGAGCCTCAAAATTGGTCAAATTTCAAGAACAAATTAAGAACGAGCTTCTTCAAAATGCAATTTTGAACAACGTTTTTTATCAAAATCGAGAATTTTTAGCCATTTGTGGGTGCTTTTTCGGTGAATATTCAAACCTGTCTGCAAATGAGACCTGACTACCTCTCTAGAGCGAAAAAGCTAGCACTCGCACTGCTTACACCCAGTGGCGGGGTGGCTATGCTTTCCCTAGGATGGCCAAGTCGATTTTTGCGCCCTATCTATATATCGTGGTTATATAAAAGCATGTGTTTCTATAAGGAAATTGGTCTTTGCAACTTGAATCCAAAATTTTATAAAAAAGTTTTGACTAAGAATGCGAATATGAATGGAAAAGTTATGTAATCCAAACATTTGACCTTCTCGATCATGGTTCGGTAAAATATCAAACTATTTTGAATTGGCTTATTTTCAAGAGTCGGCCTATTTTCGAGAAAATTCGGTAGGCAAAACATAAAATACTAATCAGAAGACATTTTATTCAGTTGCACTGATGTTTCATACAGGCTACTCGTTATTATATCCAGAAAACCATCTTCAGAGTAAAATAACGTAGAGCAAATTTTTGTTCCGGGCTTCTTAGTTTTTTAACTAAAGGCAACCTTAGTTCATTTCACCTCTGCTTATGGGCGATTTTATCAGCCTAGTGTCATCGCATATATAATGTATGATATACAAACATGGTTCAAATTTGTTATTCTTTAGTAGTTATTAAATAGTAGTTCTTTCAAAAACTTGAAAGTTTCGGGCATTGAATCGCACTATTGATTCGGACAGAGGCGGCGCCACAAAATTGAATCTGGGGTTGGGCTAAGGATCAAGTCTAGTGACAGAGGAGGACCGACCATGGTTGGGTCCAACGCGGAAGAAGATTTTTGAATCAAGCCTTCTAGAATGGCTAAAAATGCATCTCCCAGACTAAGATTTAACAAATTACTACACAGCTCAGAATAGACAGTTCGACGATGGTCAGAAAAACATTTATTTTTGATTTTTAGAAAAACTTTGGGAGGGGAGGTTCGTGCGTTGGATAAAGAAAGAAAGGGTGACCTTTGGTTCACATCGATGTTAATAACAAAAAGCTTCTGTATTGATTGCCAGGGTGCATTCCATTTCCTTTGGCCCGAAGATCTTTGGCGTACACTCAGGCTTTTTGGCGTTCCGAGTACAAACTAAAAGAAAAATTTTTTTGGCATGCGTAAAATCTTCGTTAGTTGGCGTGATAAACATGAAGCCACGTACATAGTTAACACGAAAACATATGACACAAATGTTGATTGGGTCATGGCAGCGCAACGTGCTTCGATTGAGAATCACACGTTATTTTAGATTGTTCACAGCAAGTTATAGCGGAGTGTTCTACCCGTGCACGATCATTTTTGATGTTCCTAGCCAAATATTACAAGCAAACAATTTTGGCGCCCCCTTATCTCTATTTGCGCCCCTATTCAGGGGGGCCATGGCCCCCTGCCACCACGCCACTGCTTACAACCTATCAAATTAAGAACAAATTAAGAACAATCCAGCCTCAGATTTTAGAAAAAATTAACAACAGTCAGCCTGAACTTCAATTTACTGGTTTTTATAAAAAAGAGTGTACTTCAGAAACGGATTGTAGTGCTATGGGGCTCAAAACGTCCGGCTCCCTTGTTCAACGAGGAATGTTTGGGAAAGACCCCTGCAGACCCGCCCCATTTCAGGGCCCGTGCCATGAATTTGAAAGTAGGAAGGGGGCCAAGGCTAAAAAAGTTGGGGGCCAAGGCATCTTACCTCTTTTACGGCATGGCCACACCGCCCCCCCCCCTCGGTGTCGCGGGCCCTGCATTTTAGTACTTAGTTGTTTATTAGCTATCATTTTGTAAACCAACATAAAATAAAGTGAATAAAAAACCCCTCTTCATGAAATGGTGCAGCACGTGCCCGAAAATAGGCCTAAATGTAACACCAACCTAACTGCTGAACAAGGCTGGTGGCTGCAAACATCTTTTCCTTCTCTTGCTACCTAATTCAAAGACTATTTTGATAAGCCTTTACTTCTTGTGTTTTTCCTTTGCAAATTGCCTAAAACTATTCAGTTGAAAACTAGCCATTAGCCATTCATTTCCCGGGGTTCTCCGGAAACGGAAGAGGTAATCCCATCTGTAGAATCATTTTGCCCTATTGTTCTTGAGCCTTGTTAACACGTAAGCAATGTATAAACATTAATCCAAGGGACTAACTGGCCAATCACAGCTCGCGGATGTAAACAGATATTGCAAACTTCTGACGTTGGTCTGCTAGTATTTGCATAGATAACGTGACGAGGTAGGTAAGTTGGATTTCTGAGCACATTACCGAGGTTATGACGGTACAGTTGTACTGAAAATTAGCAATGACAAAGTTGGTTGGAATGGAACCAACTGAAAGTATTTATGAAGAGATTATTACCAGTGACATCAGAAGAAATTTAGACAAGAAACGATTAGATCGTAGCCGGAGCTGCCCGTCGTCTAGAAAAACTTCAAGAGACATGGGGAGGCATTACAGCGCTTCAAATTTAAGGGACTGTAAAGACAATGAAGATAATTTGTATGCAGTTGTTCAAGGAGACGATCTTGAATTTATGAAGTTAAAGGATTTGCTCGAGGAGGGAGAAAACAAGACAGGACGACTTTTGAATCGCAAGGACAGTGCGAGAGGCACAGCTCAAAGTCTAGATGGAGGTGATGATAGAGACCTTGGTGAAACGGATTCGGGCTGTGATTGTTCGGTTACAGGAAAAGAAACAATATCTACAATTCATTTTCCAAGGCCAAACAGCTTGGATTTGAAACTTTCTGATACCGTATATTCGGAGATTCTTCACGCTAGTCCAACGACTCAAATAGATTTCGCGCGTGGACGTATTACTCGTGAATCGGACAATCCACTGCTGAGACAAGAAGTTATCCCATCAAATTCTGGCTCTCCAGCTACTTCTATGCCATCAAGTCGAAGTGGCTCGATAAGGTTACGAAGGAATGATGATGGAAGTACCAGGTCTGGTTCGGGTGATTCTGGTATACAGGAAGACATGCAAGGACAATCTATGTACGCGAATTGTACGAGGAGAGATCGGAAACTCCGCCGATCCCTGAGCTCTCCACAGTTCCAACAATTCTACGCCAACACATCTTCCGTGCAGACCACCGAAGATTCCGTATACGCTAATATGGACGAGCATGAAAATTCAACAGGTGCGAACGAAAGCACTGATTCGGTGTATGCCAACATGGACGATGAGCCAGCAAGGCCGCGCACTGCAAGCCGCCCCATTGCAATTCAGTCAAATCAGAGAAAAAGTCCAGGACAGACAGAAATGATATACAGCGATTTAGACTTTGAAGAGGAGCCAATACCAGAATATTTATCAAGTAGTCCCGGGGATGCAAGTAGCACTTCTAGTGGCTTCTCGTCCTTCACAAATCACCTCACAAACACATTCACCCCGCCTCCTCTACCAAATCGGCCTGCCTCAGTCTGTGCACGAAGGCGGCAAACAAGCTTTTCTTCTGTTTCAATGTCTTCATTTGCTGGTGCCAGCAGTCTTAAGGCTAATTTTATTGGCACACACTCAGCACACAAAACAAGCAGAGAATGCATTGATCATGCTGTAAAAGAGGCAGTCCATAAAACCAACCTACTTGATGTTAAATCTGTTTGTGTAGAAATCAACTCCAGTGTGGTGAAATTCTTAAACTTAACAAGTCCGTACCACTGTATTCTGCAGTTCCCTATCGACGAAATTCATCTGATGGGACAGTTTAGCAAAGACCAGCGTTTCATGGGATTTATTGTCAGTCAACCTGGGAGAGAAGCCCTCTGTTATGTTTTCCAAAGTGATCAAACATCGGATATAATGGAGGTCATTAAGGATACATTTAGAGAAAACCCATGGGTAAGAATTTTATCAAAGGTTAAGATTTTTATAACATTTGATTATAGTATTTGTACCCCGTCCCTGCTTCCTATGTCTTCAGGTTCGACTTCGCTTATAATTTTCTCCATAAACTTCATCTGCACTTTCTTTCCAGGAACTTTTGAAGTGAATGCTTTGTAAGAAAATAAGTATTTAGACTCAATCTTCCAAGTTCTATGCAAATGTCATAGGCCATTATGTTTCAATGGTACCCATATTGAAACTTGAGACGCTTGTCGGCACATGAGATCCTCAAAGGTTGGCCATTCAATACTTTACTCTTTGAACCCTTGGTTGCCATTGTCGAAAGAAAAAACGTTATACGAAACCCGTTCGCTGATGCTAGCAGTTTGTAACCTGAGTGCAATAGAAACCTAGCTATTGGAAACAACCTTTTCTAAGGCAGGAATAATAACTTCTGACGTAGATTATGATGAACATCCGCTCACATTTTCCTGTTTTTAACCACTTGTTAAAATCATTGCAGCTATCCTCTATGTGTCATTTGCTCCTTTTTCCGATGGTGGTTTTGAATGGAATGCATTTTTCATTCCTCTTCCCTTCTTGTTTTTTCATGTTCGCATATAAAACGTCTCGTTTCTTCAAAGTCCAACAGCGTAAATGTGGTCATTCATCCATAGAACGATTTTAAAAACTTGCTCAAACTAGCATTTATTTTTCGGAAATTTTGCTTCCTTTATAAATTCATTTTCATGAGATAATTGAATCTCTCGAAGCTTTATGTTTAGGTAAAAAAAAAGAAATTCATCATAGGTCTGTAGGTGCAGTTGAATTTAAGATTTGTTTCTTCTATGTCTAGCATTTTTTTTCTTCTATGCCCGACACTTTCTCTTAAAAACCGCCTCATCAATCGATAGAGACAATTATGTTCCACATAATTCCTTTAGCATACCACTTTATTATTTATGCACAAGTTCTAAAACTAGATTTTTCAAGTGTTGTGCTTACGACCATGCATTTCCAAGGTCTAAAATGGCAATGCAAATTTCTCTCATTTAGTTTATGTCTTCTGATTCTTGGCATCACAGTTAAACTAAGAACCTTTTTAAGAAAAATTCCAAAAATCCATCATAATCCGTTTGTTTGATACATCTAGTACGCTTCGGAAATGGTGCTACACCCCTGTTCAAGGCCTTAGCCCCTGGGGGCTCCTTAGTAGAGTTTAACTTAGCTTTTCTTAACTGCCATCCCCCTAAATAATTGGTCCTGCTGTGTATGCTAAGCATGTTGATTTTCAATGTTGACACTTGACAGTAGAATTCACAATGGCCAAAATAGGCATAGGCTGCAAAAATTTGTTTACAGGTTAAGTTCGTCTTTCAGTTTAATGTATCCCTGACCGTTTTGTCATTAGTGATATAAGTGTCGAGGTAACTACGTCATGTATGCTCATTAAAGAAAGCTTATAGCATTTTTTTTGTTAATTTGCCTAAGGACAAGGAAGATTTCAAATTTTTTTTTCGAAACGAATGACAGTCACACAGAGCCACTTTGGATTGGAAAGGTGCTTTAGGGGACTACGGTCTTTCACAACGTTGTAAAAGAAATATTCAATAAACTCAATTTCCTAAGCAATTAGTTATGTATTTAACAATGGACATTTACTATACTTCGGTTTTTGTACCGATTTCTGAGATTTACTAGACTTTCACTCAACTGACGGGTAGCTACGCGGGATGTCCTGAGTAACACAGCCCCTATAGTGTCTAAGTATCAGGTCATGCCGCAACTAGCACGACAACATTTTAATTCCTAAAGTTGATAATGGTGTTGTTTATCACGGCGTTCTGATTTTGACCTGGCATGAAAAGCAGAAGATCATGCACCAACATGTTTTGAGAGCAAAAAAAGCTTTGCAGAACTGCGCTGTCGGCAAAAAGGGTTTGTTGAAGGGCTGTCGTCTGCTTCAAGAATGTTTGGCGCTGTGCTTAGTTCCTTGTCAAAGTGATCGAAAACGCAGTGTAGTGCTATAACTCATGATAGGTTTACAGGAATGGCGTGTATCAACGAGAAAGGGCCAGGGGCGGAAACTTGGTCGAATATTGGGGGCAAGCCTATTGTACCAATATTTTTAGAGTGAGTCCGCTACCCAGGGTACAGTTCTTGGTGTCCACGTCAAAGAATCATGTAACTAATCTTAAATTTATAAACTACAGTCATCGTTTACTTACATAAAAAAGAAAAACTTAGCTAACAAATATTCAACTGTTTTAGAAATTGAAATGAATCATGTGTCTTTGTTTGCAAAAATGTTACTAATAATTTAAACTCTCTGGATTTCAGACGTAAAACATTAGCCAAAAGATGAAAATACAACCATCCAGTAACTTCATGTGTTATATAGGGTTTACACCCGTTTCCAAACTGTTTGAAAGGCGTGACTGTACTGTAAGAAATGTTTCCGAAGGCTCAGAGTTATCCAGCAGCGTAGCCAGGGTGGTAAATTTGGAGGGAGGCAAAGGCGAGGTGAAAATGGGGGTCCACCCCCTTTTGAACATTTTTCTAGAGAGATTTTTGCCATTGGAGGGTGGCGTCCGCTCTCTTTTGCCTTCCCCCTCACTACCCTACTGGATTTATCCCCCTTGTGAGTGTCCTCCCCAAGACAAAGGGTATGAATAAGACAGAGGGGTAACTCCTAAATTGGTTGTGTATTTTCGTGAGGGATCTTGCGGTATCAAAGTTAATACTGATATGTACTTTTGAAATTGACATGCAGCACGCATACTGGATGATTGAAATTTGGTGATGGTGTACAAAAATTTTGTGATGGCTTTTTAGGCAATCTCAAATCTTAGAAAGCTTTATCTAGAAGCTCAATGTTTTGCTGGAAAACCCATATACAGTCGCCTACCTTCTAACCTGGACATCTAGAATGTGCCATTGAGAGGTCTTACAGGTTGTCTACCGACAAAGACACAATATTGTCCCAACTTGTGTCCACCTTCGTGTGGTCTTAGCTAATTTCCTACCAGCCATCAAGAAAGTCAGGCCCCGTCGCTAGCTATTGTGCTAAGGTCACGGTTATCAAAAGACATGTACTTTGTTATCCTGTATCTTGAATAACCGTCTCACCACATTGTATCTTGCACAACTTTTAAGTCTGTCTAAAGCTTCAGTTTCGTAATATAATCCTGAGAAAACGACTTTATAAAATTTGGTTGTAAAGTAAACAGGTTATAAACGTTGGGGTCGAGGCGAATGCAATTTTACTGGGGTCTTCTGACGGCCTTAGATCTTTGTCTTTGTCTAACTATGTCTCAGTGTTGCAAAATATCTCTTAACGAGTCCAAAGGGTAGAGCTCCTTTAACTTGCATAAAAATTACCCACGTCCTGTAGCAATGTCTAGAATTTCTTATATGTCTATGAACTTATATGTCTTGTTGTAGTTTGATGTCCCTATTGCAATGGCAGTGACACTACTCGTAACAATCAAATAAAATTTAGACCCACATATGCAAAAACTATTCAATCAAGCTCCGTTTACAGTCACTCTCCGTTTTAAGTCACAAATTTTCAAGCAACATTTGGAGTGACCATAACTGAAGTCTACTGTAATTTTCCTGGTGTTAAACATTTACTTATTTACTCTGAAGTATCTAATATTGTCCCGGGATACATAACTTTGCAGGAAACTATCTACCAAGGACATCCATATTCAAGCCCCATTTTTTCTGTCTCCCGCCAAGAAATTTTGCAGATATAATAAGTTTCTTTTCTAATTTTTAGAAGCAGCGATTTAGCTCACCAGATCGACCAGCAAGCATTTACGGCTTACCCGAAATCTATCGACCAACATCATTTCCAGTCGTGGTCAAAATTGGAACTCTTAAAGTAAAAAAGTCATATTTAGTAATCAACGACAGCATTCGCGCATTGCTGGAAAAAATTAACCCTAAAGAATACAGAGTTGTTGACCTTCAAATAAAGGAGTCTTGTGTAATAGTCACAAATTCGGGATCACGAGAGCACTTTGAGCAACACTCCATTCCATGGATCTTATCTCTGGGGCTTTACAATGAAGATGGAAGGTATTTCGGATACATAGTGTCGAGCACAAAAAATGGAAAGACGAAAATGTTATGTCATGTTTATAAATGCAAAAAAGTAATGATGTCAGCTTCGATTCTTGAGGAATACGCAGTGCCTGTCAAAGTGCCTTAACACAGAACCAGGTTCCGCGTTACAGTAATTCGATGCCACGTGATGCATTTCGCAGCAGACTAGTGACAAGTCCGGACGCAATGTCAAGGTCATCAACATCGAGTGACGTAAGTGTGTAAAAAATTTCGGGTATATCAATAATGAAAATGTTCATTATAATTTGAATTTTCCTTGTAGTAATTTTAAGGATTTATAAATTTTTCCTAAAAAGTCAAGATTTTATTTACCCATTTCTTTATATTTTTGAAAGGGCAAATAATTTGTAAAATTCTTTCTGGCAATTATTATAAAAGGTAATGAATATTGAGCCTTTAAGTGTGACTCTGCTGACATTGCAGGATTAAGGCTCGACATTAAAATGTCATGAAATGATTGAAAAATTAAAGCTGTATTTGGAAAGATCATCTAAGTTTGGCTTTATATTATCTTGAATTGCAACAAAGACAAGGCTGTTAGAAAGAAACCTTTCGAGATAATAATGGGATAAGATTCTGTCAACATAAGAGATTATTGCATGGCCAAATGGCTAACTTTATTTGATTTATTTAGCATCCTTGAAGGGCAACAAGCATAAATGAGCAAGTCAAAACAGTTTAGTATGATTTAATCGGACCGCTTTTGGCCAGTCTGTTGTCGTTTTCTCCATAGGAGACATATCGCTGTCTAATTATGTTCTGCTAGAAAGAGGGTAATCATGAAGCGGCTCGTGTCTCAGAGCCATTGTGCTTTGGGCAAAATTTATGAATTCCAAATTTTGTTTATTATTTATGCACGGCTTTAAAGCATCATGAATTGGCAAATAAACTGCCCTTAAAAGTTCTGTCTGAAATTCTTTTTAGTAAATCTAGAAGGGGCATATAAAAATTTAACCTTTAGAGGAACTTCACTCAATTTAGAGGTCATATGGTTCAAGTTATCAATAAGCTTTGAAGCCTGAAGTTTACTGAGAAGCTAGGGTCTTCATAAAAGAAACTTAATAACAGAAAAGCTTTAAAAGGGTCTGATGTGAAACAAAGCTTGGTTTTTTGTAGTTTTTACGGCAGTCTTCAGTAAATGTCTATCTCTGCTAACAAGAGCATAAGGCTGTATTTGTTGGGAGGTGTTTAGAGCTCATCGCTGCTATGTGTTGCATAATTTTTCAATTGCTTCATATCACGTTATCTTACAGTGACTGTCCTTGGTTTGCTTCTATTGAATTTCCATTTGTAAAGAAAAGTAGCTCAGCTCCCGTCTATATTTTCAGTTATTTGACAAGAGCCCCGTATCTCATGACTGTCACCTTTTTACCTTGAGGAAGGTACGAAGAGCGTCTTAAAGCATTTGATATGCCTTTATGAAAATTTGATGAGATTATTTTTTTTCCAGGAAACTACAAGAGATATTGACTCGCCTGCGATTGCACGCACCGCATCCGTCAGTTCAAGAATTAGTGTTTCTACTCTCAAATTAAAGAATGAATCAAATTATTCCAACGTCATAAAAAGCAAAGTTGCAGAAATAGATCCGTCTGAAACAGAACAGAGTGATGACGCTACCCTTAAGGATGAAGCGATTGAGCAGTCGAAGGAGCCTGAAAATATTGTAGAAATAGAGAAGGATTCGCAAGTTGAAGGCCATGACAGTCAGTATTACGGAGAGCCTGAAGACATTAAGGATTCAGATGAAGTTGATCCGAAGGCGCACCATAAGGATAAAAAGTCACCATTTTTGAAAAGCAAGAGTAAAATGCTTAGGAATACATTGCTAAGAAAAAAACGGGATTCCAAGTTGTCTAGAAGCATGCAGTCGCTTGATTTCTCGCCTAAGGAGGAGGAAGAGCTAGCCGTTCCTTTCGAAAGAGAGGAACATAAGTTTGTAATCTCGTACCTATGTTCAGCAGTTGTAAAACCTCCATTGAAAAGCAAGCATATAGAGAAGTGTCTCAAGCAGTACCAAAAGGAGGTTGGTAAAAAGCAGAAGGCAGGCGAAGCCTGTTGCCTTGGCAATAAACTTCAGTTAGAAATCGTTACAGATGAGGGTATTACTATGGCTGATGTCCGAAACCCGAATGCGTTCAGGCGCATTTTCCTATATCAACAGTAGACTGTTTCATTGTGCACCCGGAGAACCCAGACTGCTTTGCGTTCTCGACAACTGTCCCAGGAGACGAGCAGCATAAGTACCATTTGTTCTACAAGGCAAGAGAAAGCATTGCAACTGTAAAAGATGCCTTCGAGAGGCTTAAGCTAATGCAACGCATACTTTGACCACAATTTCTGCCGCCTTCTCGTCTGAATTCATCAAGCCTTGATGCTTGGAAAAAGAATCCGATTTCACTGATTCAAAGGGGTGAAAGAAATGAGAAGAGGAAAAAGCTAAATGGGGAGTAAGTGAAAAAAAAGAGAACATTGAATTCTTTAACGACGGAGACAAATTTTCTCCCAATAATATGATGATGCTTTCGGCTATAATTTATTTGCAATCGCGTACATATTTATGATTTAACTTCTGATAGGATTTTCCAATTGTTGATCTTATTTGCTGGGTGTATATAAATCAAAAATTTATTCATTTTAAAAAGAAACCTTGGTGGATCTACAGGCAATTTTGTAGGTCTCTTTTACCCAATTAAGGCCTGGCCATTTGAGGAGAGCCATAGTTCTTGCTCCCCTCCAGGCTCTCGTCAAATGCTGGAGGGAAGCTACGGGTTACTCTGCTAAATTACTCTAAAAAGCAATTTGCTCTCCTTGAAGTCAATTTTTCCTTTGTTTTTATTCTTACTTATCTAGAAATAGCTCACCTGGAGATTACTAGGAGAGCTGTTTATTGCTCCCCTGCTAAAAGTCTCATGGCCAGGGCTGGAATTTATTTTGATTCGTTATCCAAAATCCCGTCAATCTGGTTGTTGAAAAATGAACCTCGCTTGTAAGTAAAAAATAAGTGATTACCTGTCTGGCCATACTGCTTGTATTGTAATACTGTTGAAATCTGAATTTTCAAGAAAATGTGTTTATGTCTAAGTGACGGCTGGATATCGCAAAGTTCTGAAACCTACCCAACTTGATTTTTACTTGCCAGAATAGTTAATCACTTCTACGATTAAATGAAGATGTTCAAAATTTTTGCCACAAGGATGTCCCGTTTTTGATCAATGTAAAGTAAACGTCTGATAATTTTGGCAATGTAATATAAGGATCCCATTATCTCGAAAAGGAAGGAAAGCTTTTAAGAAGACAGTTATTTTCCATTTAACCCTAAATCAAAAAAAGCCCATTTCAATGGTATCAAGTGTTTGAGAAAAACATGTAAATTTTTTTAAGGCATAGGGGATGAGAAAATTTTAAGTTAGCTTATGCATTTTCTTCTGGCTTTACTATTTTTGCATTTATTAATGTATAGCAAAGTATTCATAAATTTTTCTCTCGATATTTTAAAAGATTGGAGCTACTGATGCGGCTTACAAGCATTTTGTATTGAATCAATACGCGTCTCGTTTGCTGTTAGATTGTTAAAGGTTCCATAAACTTCTTGCAAATCTTAGTCGAATATGACGTCATCAGAATTTCAAGTCTACAGACAAAAAATTCACTCGAGTCAATTAAGCCCAATCTCCAGTGAGAAAAAGTCTTGCGAAATTTCGCTGCGAAATACTTCACGCGACAAATTCCTTTGAATGCTTTTGTTGACCTCACGACATAGGAATGTAAAGTTTGGAAGCGTGACAAAAGAATACGGAATATGATTGGCTGTTGAAGGATTTCGCAAGCGAAAAGCGAAAAAGTTAAACTCATTTTAACTTTTTTTCGCAGAGAAATTCTTCGCGAGAAATCCCAGCAAAAGATCACTGCGCATGCCTAAGACGTATTTCGCGCGAACTTTTTCGCATTTCGCAGTTTTTTTTCTCACTGGAGATTGGGCTTTAAAATGCACGTTTTTAAAGGCAATCTGTCTGGTTGTGGATTGGTTAACGAGAACAATAGCTGGAACAATAGCCTAAACACGATTCCAGCGCTCCGCCATATTTTTTACAATGCGATAAATAAAAGGGAGACTGGAAACAATAAAAATCCCTTTGTTCTTATAACCAATCAACGTCGTGACAGATTGCCTTTAAGGTGTCCAATGGAGTTTTAGAGCTACAGTTCTAGACAGTCTATAATGTGATTTAGCACCCGCATCCCCCAGTTGAATTGTGATATCACTGCTATAAAAAACTTTGAATTTAGGGGGTGGGGGCCAATGCTGGACTCTACAAGCATCTTACTGGCAATGGACTCGGACGTAAGACCTACGTTCTCCTGGAGACAATAGCAAATCTTAGTAACGAATCGAGCACCACTTGAATGACAAAAAACCGCGGGTCTAGTTGCAAAGAAAAAATGAATCAAATCCTCATCGAAATATTTCTGTAGGTATTGGTGTACAGTCAATTTTGGAGATTACAACGATTAGCGAGTTTACAGTGGCTCGCATCCTCTAGTGGAAATCCCAAGACGTAACATCCCAAATAGACATTTGAACTGTGCTTTTCTATGTCGCAATAAGCACTCAAATTTCCATTTTGGTTAGACAATATGTCACTTTGTTTCCTACCCATATCAGGTTCCACTAAACGGCATTTAGCACCCTTTATGTCTTTGGGGCAGATGCTCATATAATACACGTTGGTGCCTCTCAATTAACCAATTCAAATTCAATGCAAGAACTGTTCTTTATCGTATAAAGGTTTCCATGTAAAATGCTAGAATCGCTGTCACAATACGTTTTATATCAAGCACCAAATTTTTGACATATATTGGATTTTGTTAAAATTACAAAAGTTAAAATAAGATTGTAAATATTAAAGCTGCTGCTGTGAGAATACTTCAAATTTTGTAATTCGCTGTAAATACTTCATAATCTTTGCACGATTTTTATGAATACTTGTAAGTTTGGTATGATTTATGATGTATATGATTTTACGCCATTTACAAAATCTCTTTCCTTCTTCAGTCTTCTTTTAGTACAAGTCAATGTTCATCGCTGATACTGCATGAAACATTAATGTAATCAAGAAAACTTGCGCTTTACTTTCTTTAACTTATTCCCACAGGTACCGTGGAAAAGGGAGGCTGGGGGGGGGCTATAGCCAAAAGTGTAAAAAAGGATGAACCACCAGTCAAGCCTCTTCATTCGGTATAAGCACCTCCTTACATTTTGAGACCCCACTTTTTTCAACGTTCTGTGGTGCCTGCCCCACCAAGTATTTGGCTTTGATTCAAAACAGCGGAAAGGCGTTATGTGGATAAGCAGGACGATTTTAAGCCCAACTCTTGTTCAGTGAGTCAATGTTCGAAACAACAAAATGTCCAATCAAAACCTTGAAAATTGTAAGTTCTTAGATTAGTTACTAAGCACTGGATGAAAAATAAGATTACTGATGCCAAATTTTATCAAAAACTCGATCATTAAAAAAGACGTTATTGCAGGGTATTGTTGAGCTTACGATAACGCTGGCGCAGCATGACAACGTGCTTCAGACACAGGATGTGTTGTGAAACCACCTTCATGACATGGTAAAAATTATATTTGCTCTCTTTTATAAGACTCTTTTATGGGCAGGAGCCTCAAAGTTGGTCTAAAATTTTGAGCAAACTAAGAACAAGGTATTATTAGCACATCCTAAACAAGGCAAACCTTTGCTCACAATGAGCTCACAAAGATGAAAAGGAATTCTTATATACTTTTCCATCTAGGGGTGCTTGTTAGGGAATTTTCAAACTTTTCGGAAAATAAAGGATGTCTCACTCACTTTGTGAACCCTAGCCATTGCTCTGTTTACTACCTAATAATTTAACAACAAATTAAGAACAATCCAGCCTCCAATTAAATAAATTTTAGTTTTTTGTTTTGTATTTACTCTTTTTGGATTGTCTTTGCTATTATTACATCTCATAACAGTTTTATTCAACTTGAAATGAAATATAAAAATGGAATAAGCTTTTGTCCGTGTGTTTTACCCAATCCCGCGTTAGTTCGCGCCTTGCCGCAGTACAATATCCAGAGGATCACCCGCCTTTTATGCAAATGAAATATAATGCCGACTCATTGTCTTTATCACTGGCATCGTACTTCCCTCAAGTGTGGGGCGGGCTTTGAAAAGAAGAAACAGATCCAATTTCGGTCCTTTGTGACAGGCGACGGCTTGGATTGCCTGCTTGGTGAGTTATCTTTTGTAAGGCTTTTTCAAGCATAAAATCAAAGAACTTGCAACCCAAGTTTGTTTTATGTGCCGATAGTGCATTGGCATTGAATATTTGTAGACGAACAAAGGGCCTAGTCAGTTACCTTGAGTACACTAACCTAACCTGACGACAAAAAGCGCGCTTTTTTGCTATACTGCTCTGATTTTTTGTGGACATTAAACCATCAACATTTTTATAAAAAATTATTTGTTAAGGTTCGCACATAAGTTGACTACATTCCATTTTATACAGGTTTCCCTATTGATGATGCAATATATAATATGATTTATTTGATAATGACATTGCTGTTGTGTTGGGTCTTTATCCTGTATTATCTGCGAGCAAAGGTTCCAACTCTCCCGATTTAGGCGGGAGTGTCCCGATTTGGGAGTTCATCTCCTGTTTTCCCGATTTCTAATCTAGCCTCCTGTTTTCAAGAATTTTTTTAAAAATTTGTTATAAAATTCATAACATGTTGTGCAAATAAAAAAATATACGAGTGTAAATGTATGTTAAGTTTGTCACCTGATCTACTGATCCATTCTAACGTTTAAACTTTAACTGGTGAAATGTATTTTGTTTGGAGGACGAACCAGCGAAATATCAGCAGACTTTTTTCCATGAGCAAACAGGCACGTAAATAATAGGGGGGCGTGGGGGCGTGACGCCCCCCAAAATGTTGGAAAATCCAATTGTAGTTGGAAAACTTAAAAGTTCACTTTGAATTTTTTCTAACTATTATGACCAATTTTATAGATTAGGATTTTGGGACTTTCAATTTAAAAATCTTAGACCTTATTAAAATTGAAACTCTGGAGCAGGCACATCTTCTAATCGTTTTTAATTTTGAAGCCCTGTCTCCACTGGATCTCAAATTGCATCATTGCATTGTTTGTTTCCTTTTTGACAGGGGTTAAGTTGAATTAGATTATTTTGAACAGGCAAGGTGAATTCTGGATAAGAAGTTTAAATTTTACGGTCAGTATTGATTGATAGGAACAATTGAAAGTGGTAATTTTTTAAGAAACAAAGAGTAGCCAATTCAATTGAAAACATTACAAATCTTTCATTGCTAGAAAGTCTCAACGCTACTTAACGGGTGTATGCTAAGCTCCCCCTGCATTTTATAGACCTCCTTAAATCTTATCATAAATTGATATGATAAAGGTGATGAGAAGCCACAAAACATTGATCAAAGAAGCAGCAGCAGAAGTATTAGATCAAAGACAAGTGTTTTATCTTACGATGCACAGCACATGGTAGGGGACGATCCGTTGGGGGCTGAACAAACTCTCAAAGTTGTTGCAAGTTCACATTCTCCTCAGGACAAATGCCGTCACAGAGATGGCAAAATTGTCTTACCTTTTCGTTATAAGCATTTTAAGCATGTTATTAATGATGCTCTTGATTTCACTATACACTGCATCCTTGTTTTCTTAACCTTGGTTATCTGAACCTTGCTTATCCGAAACCTTGCTTATCCGAAACCTTGCTTATTCGAACAATGTTTTAGGTGTTATGTTTTAGGTACCCATATATTTTCATTTAGCAGAACACTGATTTAAACACATCTCTAATTTAAACATATCCCAAATTTGAACCTAAAATTAATCCAGGAAGCTATGAATCTTTCTGTAAGTCTCTGCTAGTGAATCTTTCTGTAAGATTGATGAATGTGCATGTGTCAAAATTCAGGCAGCTCTATATTCTGTCGAAAACAGCTAATGCTATATAGTATAGTATAGACAGGGGCTTTTTGGATTGTTTCCTTGAGCAGTCAGCCAATATTCTTTCATCCTCTCTTGTCATTCATCCTCCAAAGTTTTTGTTGAATTTGTCTCAGATTTTTCACATTGTTTTCTGGAAATCCAATATTCACACAAAAGGCTCATTCCTGACCAGTTTTCATTCGAGACCAGTTTTGCTCCAGCTTCCTTATCTGTGGTGAACAAAAATTTCAGAATGCCTATTTGATTCCTTACATCTGTTGTTCCACTGACCCACACCAGGATTGTATTGCTATCAAATTACCAAGGCTGGCTCTTTCCCAAACTAATCTTCGGCAAGAAACAGATACTGTTCAGCCTTAAGAAGGAGGCTCAGCCCCTTTTGTACTACACCTCTTAGCACATGCTATTGGAATGGATCTTATTCATGCCTTCATCATAAGATTGTCTCCTTTGTTATCCAATTTCTCAGTTTTGATTCTCCATTTTTCAGTCTGACTCCTGCAATGAAGCTGCAAAACATCGCAAACTAGTTCTGCAACTCCTCCCTCCTCCCAAGAAACGCCCCCTTCAAGCAATCTCTTCCAACAGATGCTGCAAAATCAGTTTCTCTAGCAAGCCAAAATGAGCTGTAAATAACTTTCTGAAATTCAAATGAAGGCAATAATTGCATTTGCTACACCAATCACAAGGAAAAAACACAGAAGAAGATTGCCCACTTAGTCAATGTTGTAGCCATCTTGGGATATGAATACCCTAATTGTTCTATGGGAGGATATTTTTTGGAAACTCTTTTTATTCCTATCAAACATCAATAAGTAAATATATTTAAGTGGTGGTTTGTTTATTTTTAAAAATACCAGCCCATTGTAAGTATTGAATATATATTTTTGAATACAGCTTTGAAAAGGAGGTGAGCAATTTACAAGTCCCAGGCACAACAATAAAAGATTTGAAATACCCATTGTTGTGGGTTTTTCCCTCTGTTCTTGACACAAAATGAGTAAAAGATAATTTCACTTGCTTTTTCACAGTGACAAAGATCCATTATGGATGAAAATGTGAAAGCAGATGTAGATGGAGGGAAGGATGAAATGTCTGCAAAACGAAGTAGTAAAGATGTGGAAAACATTCAATTGGAGGAGAAAGAGAAGACAGTAGGAGAAAAAGACCAGCTACTGAATGATGATGAAAAGGAGGGCAAGCAAAAAGAAGAAAATGATGACATTTTGAAAGAATCACCAATGAATAAGGCATTTTGTATATCAAAATACATAACATTTTGGTGAGTTAATTGAATTTTAATATTCAAGAATTATGCTTGAAAGTCATGTTTATGCACATTTAGAGGGCTTTTACATGATAATAAGATAACCCAGGTATTGGTGATAAATGTTTACTTACAGAATAAGCATTTTCTAGCAGTGGCGCTGAATGTTTTTAAATGATGCTTTATTATTTATATTATATATATATGATATCTGTATTATTTATATGTATACAGAGTGTATACATATGTATTATATTTTATGTTGAATTATTTGATCAGTTTCTTTATAGGTGATGGAGCGTCATGATTCCAACAAGTTAACAAATATTTTTGACGATTTCTTGACAGGTGGATGAACAGCCTATTCTCTATTGGAAGCAAAAAGCCTTTGCAAGCAAATGATTTACCAAAAACCCCTTACAATGATACTTGTGACCCAATCAATGAGCAGTTTGAAAGGTACAATGCTGGTCAAAAGCCATTGATCATTCCTTTAGTTACAACTTAAAACTTGCTCATAATCTTGATACATTTTAGGAACATACACATGCAACTTTAGAAAATTTTTATTTTATATATGGCTACTTGAAGTCTTATTTATTTGTGAATATGAATATAGTTCATTGGTAGCATCGGCAGCTCTCTTTAGAAAAAAGGATATACAATTGAGTTTATGGGAAATTTTTCTATGCTCTGATATCAGTTGGAAAAACCAAGGCCCATCATTTGTATAGTGAAAAGTGCTGTCATATGCTAGGTCTTTGACAAACAGCTTGTGATGATCAAATTAAATGTTCAGAAATATGGCAGTGACTGTGTAATAATTAAGGTTTTGTCTTCTCAGTTTTGTTCATTTGCACTATAGGGAATGGGAGAAAGAATCCCTTGATAGTGATGGCAACCAGAAAACAGATGCAAGCTTGCTGAAAGTTTTTTGGAGATGTTTTGGCTGGCAATATGCTTCCTTGGGCATTTTAGTCATAATGAGTGTATGTGTTGACTTGGCTTTTTTAATGCTGGAGGCTGTTTTCAATGTTCAGATTTTATATATTTTTGGTTTTTGCATTTATTTTGAAGATTAAGGCTATTTAAAGCATAATATCAGAATTTAGAGAATTTGCTCAAAATTATTTTGATTTATTGAAGGTACTTTGTCGCTTTACCAATTCATGGTATGATATTTAAGATTAGGTTTCACTACATTACAGAAAAGCTCCCTGTTACAGCCAAACTCTCTAACTTTCAAATACTTATCTTTTGATGATAAGAATCCTTTCAAGAGTGAAATATATTTAAAGTTTGTTGAAGGTTGAAATAATGAAAGTATATATTTTTGCAGTTGCTAACACAAAGGCTAACTATTTACACTCTTCTGTGATTCCATTTTTAACCCCCTCTAGATTTTCAACCTCCCTATAAAGTTGACCTTCCTTTTATACAAGACCAGAAAAGTATTATTCTTCTTTTCTGTGATGCTTGATTCGATTCTATTTCGAATGATGGTCGATTTGATGGATGCTTTTATATAGTTTTTCCAAATCAAAAGGGTTTTTTACCTTAGATAGTTACACATTTCAGTAAGCTGATATCCATCTTTCTCTTTTAGGAAGGATTGCGTATAACACAGCCTGTTTTCCTTGGTTTAGTTGTAAGATATTTTGAGCCAAATTCTTCAGTTACCAAAACGAATGCATACCTCTATGCTTTGGCAATGCTTCTATGCTCGATGGGTATCACATTGAACAATGTCCCATTAAACTTTATGCGACAACGTATTGGCATGAGAGCAAGAATTGCAGCTACCACGCTTATTTATAAGAAGGTATGTGTACACCTTTGTTGAGTTTTACAATTTGATTAATAGTTTAACGCTTGTAAGCCAGGTCTCAAGACTGCAAAACATTCCTCCAAACTTGCAAAGTTTGCTTAAGTCCGCATATTTGAAGTAAAGTCTCAAAGACGAGCCCAGTAAGTGGTGGGGTGCAAAGCGAGTTGAGCTTTGGAAAAATTTCGAACATCCTTTGGAACATCAGAAAACACAATTTTTCAGAAAGATTTTTCACCATTGGGGGAGAAGGCGTCCATCCCCTCTCCCTACGCCGCAGTTTGTAAAGAGAATATCATTACAATCAATATGCTTCTGCAGGAACCAGCAGTTACATTCTAGATTTTGTACCTTGTCAGAATTGCAGTGACTGATTTCTAAACTTATAAACCGAGAGTCCTCAAATTTGACAAGCACCAAGCTATATTTTAAAGGGTTTACCATCCATAAGATAAAAGCTTCCTTAATACCAGATTGAAAAGGTTCCGTACACTTTCACCAGGAACTGTACAGGTTCTGGTTCTGCAGTTTGTAATTGCTATCAAAATACTAAGTCCCTAAAATATGTCCATCCGTGGGGTCGTTATGGTGCCGGCTGTCTAAACTTGGTCGATTAACATCACAAACGTCTAGAATTCAAATAACGTCTCATTTTCCACTCTAGTTTCGTTATGCTCAATGTAATTGCTCAATCATTTCTTTAAAACGTAGAAGCTCGATGTAATTGTGAAATTTGAGTAAGTTTGTATGTGTTAAAGGTTATATCTTTCAAGTGAAGTTACCAATTAGTTGAAGGTTTCTATCGTCTTGAGGTTGCCGTTGATGTCAGCTGCATATGTCTGGAACACTGTCAATACAGTCCCAATTGCCATCTCTCAATCTTGATTTCCTTTTTGATATTTTTCTTCTTCTTCTTTGTCAAAGATCCTGAAGCTGAGTAACACTAGCCTGGCCTCGACAACAACCGGATACATTGTCAATCTCGTGTCTTCAGATGCCCAGAAACTAGATTTTGTAAGTATTGTGGCTAAGGATTGAATTTCCAGCCTCCAGGACGATGAGGAAAAGCACCGAAGCACCAAACGTGATATTATTTAACCAAGTATAGCTGTTAAGCGCATTTAGTCTTGTTCACGATGTTACCCCCAATTAGAGACGTTGTGATGGGCCTGGGAGGAGGCAACTACACATTCTATGTGGATCAGGAATTTTACTCAAAAGTTAGAAAATTTGAAAAAACAACTTTTGAGACAAGAAAATTTGGTGAATACATTGTATCCCCATCCCCCATCCCTCCCGCTTTTTGAAAGCTCAGTTCTCAATTCTTCCTCGGGAGGATCAATTTTTTCAGATTCATTTCGGTCACATTTTTGTTCGTCTTTGTTCTACTTTCTTTATTGATCTTGATTTTTCTTCTTTTCTTTTTGTTTATATTTTTCCATTTATCTCATGTTTTCTTTCTGTATTCCTTCCATTTTCTTTTCAATTTACATTTTTAATTTTTTTGCATATTTTTTTTTAGTTTTGCTATCTTCATGCCGCTTTCCCCTTTTCTTTCGTCCGTCGTTAATTGTTGTCATTCTTTTTGTAATTCAGTCTTTCAATCATATTGCCTCTCTTTCTTAATTAATTTTTCTCTGTTCCTTTTCTCTTATTATCTCCCTTTTCCAGTTTCTTTCTTTATCTATATACTACTAATCGGTGCTAAGCCACGAAATAGCTCTATTAAGCTGACGTATTTACCTCAACTGTTTGCGGTATTCTATCTTAAGCTTCATCCTCACGCTAGATATCAATTACTGTCAATGCACGAAACTAAAAAATCAAATATACTATCATTCTTTGGCAAAGCTCGGCATGACACTAAAAGTCCTATCTCCACAGCTAAATAACCAATTGTAAAAATCAGATAAAAAATGTTGTTAGAAAGAAAAAGTTTATAAGTGCAACTTTACTTCCTAACGTGACTTCGACTTCTTTCAATGTACTATGCTAAGAAGTCAGATCTGCTATCAATATTTTGAAGAGCTGCGTACGATACTCAATTTTTCCTTGTAAACTTTATTATGTATGATCTCCCTGTATTTTCCATATTAACAAACGCTTGTCCCTGATTATTTTAGTATCAGTGATAAAAGAGCTACAACAACACTAAGTATGCTGGCAGATTTCCTTTGCCGACACCCCCTCCCCATTGAAGGGTCCATCGGACAATGAACATGCAGCCAGGTTTTATTATAAATATTTATACACTATGATGAAAAATACCCAATCAAATCCTATCGGTGAATTTCTTTTTACCTACACCCCTCTCCCCACTTAAAATAGCTAAAAAGAAAAGTTCAGATGACAATGGCTTTTGAAAAAAATGGACAAATTTTGTTGATGCTTTAATCCTTAGAGCGCGCGTTCCTCTAAAGGTGACTCAAGCGCACATCCAAGAGATACATGTTCACAATATCTCTAGGCGTAGCTTATCGCACATTCCATATATATATCTCATTCTGAAATTTAATATCCTTTGGTTTTAATCAGCTTTGTGAATATCGATTTCCAAAATATTAGATATCGTCGGTTAACCAATTAACAATGTCAATGTTACGTTTACGAATCGTTTGTTCGCTCTTTTTTTCAGGCATGTTTCTTCCTACATTACCTTTTTGTCGGACCCATCGAAATTGCCGCCGTCGCATTCCTTTTGTACAGGGAAATTGGCTGGCCTTGCTTTGTTGGTATCGGGCTGTTGCTGCTCTTGGCTCCTGCGCAGATGTTCATGGGCCGTCTTTTATTCAGATTTAGGTCCTGATTGTTTGCTACATTTTATAAATTCTCGCGTTTTCGCTTTAATTTTCCCCCTTTCCACAAGTGATTCCTAAATTTTTATCCATTCCAAAGACCGTCCTAAATTTCTGCCTTTATCATAAGATAGACCTGAATTGCTACCTTTGCCACAAGCAATTAGATTTTAAAATTGGCCGTACAAAGGATTTAGTCTTACAGCATGAGAGCTCTTAAAGATACACTGGGGAGTATCTTCACTGTCAATTAACTGTTGAAGATTGTTTAAGCTTCTTATCTAGCTTAAAATTGCAGTAGTGTAGCAAAGGTTTGAATCCCTCCCCTCCATTGAAAAAGATTGGATATCTTAGTGTAATTTCATAATAAGATGTTACCCTCTTATAAACCGTCTCTCAAAGTAGGACTCAGTGCAACTTATCTACAAAGACGTAGCAAAATTATAACTTAGGACATCAGAAATATGTGACATGTTTCCTTATAACTTATTGAATATAAAATGTTTTGTTATAGGAGATTGAGTCTAGAGCTTTTGAAATTTTATAATAAATTGAGGCACAGTGGCGTAACTCAGCGTAGGGCACCTTAGTGCTATAAATATGGGTCCCTGTCTTAAAGGGACCCCCAAATTAATTTCATATTCATGTTTTTAAGATTTCGCTAAAATTTACGTCATTTCAAAAACTTTTAAAGTTCTTCAACTGATGCTTCTATAACTCAGCTTTCCCTGGTTGACGAGAAAAAAATTATAATTTTATATTGTGCTATTGTGTTCGACTTGCTTACAGCGTTGGATGGTCTTTACTTGCAGTTCCCGTCTCAGCTTAGGCCCCAGATGCCACAACAACGCCAATAAAGATACACGATATCTTTTCAGCTGTACATCAATCCTACATATAATAATTTGAACTTTCAAAAGGCGCGCTGATTGTGAGAAATAAAATGTTGTCAATGTCTTTTAGGCGCAAAATTATGAAGTACACAGACGAAAGAGTCAAAATAATGAACGAAGTTATATCTGGAATGAAAGTTATCAAATTGTACACATGGGAAGACTCCTTTGCAGAACTTATTGGCAATTTAAGACGGTCAGTGGTTTAGCTTCAGAACTATTTATGAAATCTGAATGCTAAATCTTCACATTAGGGATAACATAAAAGCAGGGGCGGACACTTGATCAAATATTGGGGGGGGGCAAGCCTATTGTTTTATAAACGACGTCACCTTTCCCATTGTTTTAGAACAAAAGACCATTGTCCTCTAAAGTATTGGGGGGCGGTCGCTCCCCTCGCCCTCCCCCCAAGTGTCCGTCACTGCATGAAAGTCTCTTAGGTTGCTTATCAATGAAAATTATCAAATTTGAAAGCATAGTTTTATTTACGTTCTTGCTATGTTTAGTTTTCCTATCATAAATATGACTTTGTTTAAATTTTTTTACTTTTGTAGGTATTTACTATTTCTAAATTCTGTGTTTGCTTGACAGTGATCCCCAAAACTCTAAAATTGTAACCGTACTGCAACTGTTGCTGTTACCATAGATCTATACACTGACCCTGAAGTATTGTGTTTGATTTATTTGTAGTTTGTAAGATTTTGGTTTGTCTTTCTTTAACCTACCAGTTTATTGGAGATTTTTCATTATCCTCTTTACTTTGCAGGAAAGAAATAAAAGCCATCTTGAATCTTTCCAATCTTCGTGCTGGCTTCATGTCATTCTTCTTTAGCTCCTCCGCCTTCATCAGCTTCTTCACATTCATGACGTATGCATTAACTGGACACTATCTCACGCCCCAGAAGGTATTCACCTGCATTGCCCTATTCAATTCGGCAAGGATGGTAATGACTCTCTACTTTCCAATTGGAATCACGCTTCTCAACGAAGCGCGGGTATCCGCAGAAAGAATGCAGGTGAATCACTTTGTATACAGTTTAATTCAACCAAGGAGATAATAGGTTTTGAAGACTGTTATTGATACCTATTTTAAAGATACATGTAAAATTATCAGGGCCGTTGTTTCTTAGATTGCATTCCAATTCAAAAGGCATGTTTTCGTGACGAAGTGAACAGGCGATGTCTTGCAAGAGTAGCGGCAATGCATGTAGAGATCTTAAGCCTACAACATTACGAATGTTGGTTTGCTATGAAACGATGTAGGAAATTAAGAACGTAGAGAACGACTTTGGAAAGACTTTTGGATTATTTAATGTTTCTCTAAATTGTCCAAAAGTATTTTATGTTCTCATATAATCTTTACAAGATATACACAGGATTATAAGACGATACAACAGGGAGCATGGAAATACAAAGTAACCCTGTGGAAATTTACAATCAACATATAAAGCTAAATTAACTACGATTAGAAATTGAGAAATTAACGAAAACGTGTTAAAAGAAACTATTTCTAGAAATAGGAGACAGTAAATATGCTGTTTGTATCACCAATTTATTCAAAACACTCAAGAGGCCCGGTTATATTTTAGCGTTGCAGTAAGAATTTTGATTCGATTGGGCATTCTTCATGGCCATAGAGGATGATTTTTATTTAATATAAAGTTGTTCTTAGAGGAAAGGGAACAGAAAGTTATAACATTTTAGGTAAAAAGCTTGAATGGGTTCTTCGATAGATGTTGTTTTATGAAAGACAGCATCTAGGCCCTTTAACGTTTAAGCTCTTTTTGCAAACATAGATGATACACATAGAATGGAAGTCAAATCCAACTTTTTTGGATATTAGCACTCATAGATACATCATGTTTGCGATCTTTTGTACGAAAGTTTGGTTAATGTTCATCTATCGCATCTATCTTGCAGAAACTGCTGTTCATGGAAGATTTGAAAAAGCCTGGCAGTTCCAATCTTAGGCCTAAACCAGCAGATTGTAGAGTTGATGTCGAAAATCTCACTGCATCTTGGACAGAGGTGAATAGCTTTTTCGAAAATATCATTGCTATTGAAAATTTCTGTGCTATAGTTCTTAATTCAATTCGATAGTTACTAAATCGAGTTTTTCTGATATATCGAAATGTATTTTACGGTGGGTTGTTTTCGCTTGAAACTCGTTGCCCAATACGAGGTATCATTTCAGTTGATTAACTTGATTTATTAGTAGTTGATGAACTTAATTTACCTTTTTGTTAGCTTCTCGTCATTCTGAAGTATATTTTTTCGATTTAAAATTCTTTTGGAAACTACAATACGGCTAGAATTTAAGAGCTGGGATAGATTTATCAATTATAATGGCTATTTTTATAACAAATGTTTGAGTGTCAGAATGTTGTAAAATGTTGTGTTGATTTTTAATGTTGATATGAAGTGCCCAGACATATTAATTTTTCAATTCAATTGAAGAACCTATTTCCCTCTCGCATTACAGGGCGCTACCACTTTGGAAGATATCAATATGAAAGTTGAAGCTGTAAGTGCTTTTTTCCTTTGAATTTTTTTTGGAAATATCGATTGAACAATATTGATATTAAGAGATATGACTGTAACATGCCCCTTTAATTAGTAATCTCTTGTAAATTATGATTTCATCAACTAATTAATCGATGACTTATTATTAATTCATGCAGAAATTGTTGATAGCTATTGAAAAGCTTGATTTCCAAGAACTTCCTGAACATCCAGGACCTTTTAGAATGTAACAGACCGTTTTCCCTCTGTATGAATTGGCATCTTACATGATATCACGCCCTTTTGACTAGTCGATTTAATATATATAGCAAAAGTCAACTTGCCAGGTATATCTTTTCCGATGCTCTTTGTATTTTATGGTTGCCACTAAACAGAGGTAGAAAAAGTATCGGAACCTGGGAACGTAGTTCCCAGAAATTTTTATGGATGGAAATATTAGCAGAAAGTTTCACAGAAAAGTTTTGAAGTGTTAAAGTAAATGTAAAAATCTGGTGACAAGAGTTAAGTCAAATCAGCATTTAATATTATTTCAACTTGCCTGTAAGCATCTAAATATGAGCTTTTTTGGCAGCTGAGCTTTTTAGACAAACCATTGTTTAGACTGAGATTAATATAGGGACTGGAATCTACTTTCACGGAAATTATTTCTTGTACTATGGTGGAGCAGCATTGATCATAAGTTAATATGCTTGGTTAAAGTAATTTGGTGCATATTAGGACTCCACTTCAACCATATATTTCTTCACACTTGTCAAAGAATAGGCTGTGTTAAGCCTTCTCCGTAAAATGCACCATACAATTCAAATGATTTTGCCCCTGATTCTTCTGAAACTATGTTTAGAAATTATTGCCTTCTGGTTTTGGTTTTTCCATCACGATGATTGACTAAATGCATAAATTTCTGGCTTAAGTTGATTTCCCTCTTATGTGCATTTATGCATCAAGTAAAGCCATATCTAATATGTTGAGTTAGGCCTACTCAGAGTCAGTTTCATATAAACGTCTTGAATTTCTTCAGCTAAATACAGTATTGTAGGCACAAACAGAAAGTTTGTTTGTCTACCCCTTGAAATCTTGCAGAAAGTTTTTAGCCAGATACTTAGGTTCCCAAAAAGAAAAAAGTTTTTTCCACCTCTGCCACTAAATTTCCCATCATTCTTAATGCTATTTTCTGTGATACGCTAAAGCCAAGGAGGATTGTGTGGTTGCAAAGGAGGAATTGGGCTATCATTGGACAAAAATTCTTAAAGGCAGCCAGGGGTCATATTGTTAACATGTTATGTTTGGTGTTTTTAATTGTATATTCATGTTGTATTTAAAAGTAATTCGATTTGTACTCGTTCTTCCAGGGGAAGTTATGCGCAATTGTTGGACCGGTGGGATGTGGAAAGGTAAATGAGTCCACATTTATTAAATATATTTTTTACCTAAGGCTAAACTTGTATTTGTAAAACGATACCTGGCTTTTGATTATTCGGTTGCCTTTTGGGTAGGGGAATTCAAAATAGTTTCCATTTTCTCTGCTTTGGTTTTGCTCTGTTTTGGCAGTGATAAGCGTTAAATTTGATCTAGCAAGCCATCCAACTTAAGTGTACCCCCCCCTTTTAGTCTTGCAACATAAATGTCATTACGAATGGATGTCATCATCAACCAATATTCTAATGCCCCCATTGCTCGGAATGTTTGCAATTTTTTGTTTTTAACTCTGGTTTTTTCTTTGTTTCTAGTCTTCATTGCT